TTGAACCGTCCAAAAACACCTCCAAACTCACGATCCATCGCTTTTTTTTCACATTCCGGCGCCACTTCCCCTTTTTCCATGACATCCACTACGACACGCCGTTCCCACCGTAAAGGTTGCGAATTTCCAGCTTTCTCGAACAGCTCAACAAAGCATCGACACGCACGATGACTCGATATACTCGCGCGGGCACCTCCTCGCCATCCCCAATTCGACGATTCGAGCCTGCAGTGGTCAGCTTCAAACCTCAATACAAAACATCGACGCGCACGATACCCAGTTCTTGTTCGCCTGGACACCTCCTCCCTCAAAATGCTCCAAAACGCGAGACGCAGGATCCCCGCACGGGCCCACGTAATTCGAAGATCCCCGAAAGCCCCTCACACCTCGCAAAAACCGAGAAATTCTGAAACGACATCCGCGAAACACCATTTCCACCGAAGCTCCGGCGCATTCAGGCTACCACCCCCAAACACGTTTCCCCAACTATTGGCGCGGTTTTCACGTACGAAGCCCAAAATCGCCACCGCGCCCAGGGACAACGTCACTTTGTGCACATGCAATAGCACGACTTCCTGAAAACACGAGGCGGGCACCCATCGAGGGTTGCAAACTCCACAAACCGTCCTGCGACGAAAGTCCCTGGGACTTCGCGAAGGGAGGTACAAGCAACGGCGCCACAATGCCAGCCACCTCACCCGCACGACACATCGTTTTTTGCGAAGGAGCGCGATTGACACTCAGGATCCCTCGTAAAACACGATACGCAAGCCATGTTTCGACCCCCCAAAGTCCACGAAACCTCGCGCCCACGAGATCCGAGAACCTGGGGACACATCCCCTACGGAATCACCCCCGGCTTTAAAATACGTTAGTTTAATACGCAACAGACTCAACTTTCACTAATCTATACTAATCCACGAGACATCCACTGAAGAACTCGAGCTGACACTTTCGGGAATAACTCATGAATATCAAAAGCCAAGGGACATCAGGAATTACTAAACATCTCTGAAAACTGTTGTTTGATGTTGACGAACGCACGAAAAACTATCGGACGATAACTTTAGGGTTTGTTTGATATTTGTTCAGTGCTGACCGTATACAACCAATATTGTTCTGTATAGGTAAGGACTAGTCTAACGTGGGGTCAAAACTCACTACATCTCTGATAAAAATGGTTTCTAAATGATGCTCACTACATGGTCAACATATGTAACCCCATACTGAATGCTAGCTCAATACCAAACCAATATTCAATCACATGCTGTGAACATACCAACCAGGTGTCATTCAAGTAGTAGTTAAACAGGCTATCAAATATGACTACATCCCCTAATCATCTACCAGTAGGAAAATAATAGTGAACATCATAGATTCGTTTCATATGAGATTCAGATCCCGTGTACAATACTGTTGGATGTTATACCGGTCTTGGCATTGATTTATTGGATTTGCACTTCTTCAGCTGAGAGTAAATCCCATATCATGAACAGTTTCAAACGCTTCAGAGCGCCGGGATCATGAAAACAACAAACACCAGGTACAGGATCCTGCTTTGAACCGCGTTTCGGTGTAGTCTTTACGATATCCACAAAAAGGAATCGGAGTGCATAATAATGAAACAGCACCTCGACACATAGAAGCTTGAATAATGAGCAACAACGTTCCCGAATCGTCTTTCTATAACTTTAAAAATAAAGACCTAGTCTAACCATTCAGGCCCGTTCACAACGTTTAAACGCTGATCCTAAGCCTCAATCTCCGACGCAAAACAGTATGAACTTTCAGTCTACGTGCCTGACGTATATGGGTATTAGGACGCATTAAAACACAGTAGAAGACACGACATCACTTATCGTACAGTACAGCAACGCAGCGGGAGACTTCCCGCTCATAACAGTTGCAGTTGCACTATACGTGTTCCCCCCCCCCACTCCCAAACCCCCCCGACGGTAGATCATGGGTGGGGCGACATGTACGTACACATATACACATACATAAACAAATCAACGAATATATTTTTACATATACACATATACCGATCTACCTGACTATAAACACACCCCAAACCCTGAACCTTCAACAATCCCAAGCTTTAAACGTGATTTAAATAATTACCTCGAAACATCCCGAAATCCTCAAACCCGAATTACGCAAAGCCCCCTAACCCCATGAGCCAAACAAGGCTGAGTGTGGACAACACCCCGGGTTCTGGTGGTGATGGCGGTGGGGGTGATGGTCTCCGCAGCAACTGCGGCTGTTTACGACTGTACGAAAGTTTAAGTGAGCGCCATGGAGGGCTGCAATAGGTGGAGTACTATAGCACAAAATCCACGAGCGAATTCCGAAGAGTCAGAAAAGCGAGAAACGGTTTTGCTTGCATAGGTCATTGCCCTTTTGCGCACAGCGCTGTTTTTGGGCATCCTGGTGAACGTACATGTTGTCAGCGATGCTGCAGTCAGTTACGGTTACGGCGACGATTTTGCAAGTATGCCTTCGATTGCGTGGATGCAGAACCTGATCAACCCTTCCTACGAGGATTGGTATCGGTCAAAGTTGAGACTGTGGCATGAAAGTCGACTGCATGATCACTGGCTTTTTGAAGGGGGCTCGCAAATCAGCGCCGCCACCTTGTACCAGTCTCTGGAGCAGGTGGGAGCATGGCTCCTCGTCCTGTACCTGGCATGCCTGCTTTGTGCAGTCATGTGCCGTTGCGTGCAACTCCTGCTCAAACAAAGGGCCGGGAGCGGTGCTACACATGACGGCCTGAAGCAGCTCGCAGTCCGGGAGTTGTTGAAGACCCCGAAAGACAAGATTCAAGGTTTGCACGCTAGGATTAACCCCGCGATGGCGATGACCAAGGAGGAATTGCCGAGAAAGATTGTGCCGGTTGTCACTTTGACTTGGCCCTGGCACCAAGGTGGCGGGCTGTGGCCAAGTGTGGCTGTTTGGTTGTTGGATGTGGGCCTTGACGTCAACACCATCTTCACTTTTCTCATGGCGAAGCAGTATGTTTTCGCTGCAGTGACAGCTTTCGTGGTGGTCCGTAGCACCTTCAAGCAGGTGCTCGTGCTCGCCCCCTGGAATTTGCCCGAGGCTCGCTGATTCTACCCTTGGCATGTATATTGGAGTATCACGAAACCATGTCACGCCCGAACAGAGGGCGCCCCTGAGCCCTTGTTGTGAGTTAGGGTATTTTGCGCACTGAGTCCCGAAACCTCAGAATGAGTGTTGCTGGTTTGAGCAGGCCGTGCGGCAAAGTGCACACAGAGGCCTCGTGCGGAAGGATCTGCTGGACATGCTGGAGGCGACGACGTTCGCAAATTGAGGTATGTGTACACACACACACACCCGAAGGGACGAAGATGTGGGATTAATTAATCGTGGGTCGTGCGAGGCCTGACAGGGAGTATGGAGTAGGTGGCGATTTCGGGCTTTGACGATAGTCTGTTTGTGTGGCTGTTTCTGGTGGCACGCAAACCCTGCGCCCAAATCCTAGCCTCCTAGAACTCGGCTGCAGCTGAGGAGGAGAAGCGTTCCGAGGCGTTCCTTTGCGGTTGCATCACGGCCTACTCCGCCATGTTCTCTGTCGACACTGCTGTCCAAATGCTGGTGCAGATGTTAAGCACTCTTCTCAGCACGTGGTTGTTTGCAGGCTCGGCCCGCATATAACAATTGTCCTTCCAGATGTTCGTAGTTTGGCAGTTGAGGGGGCTTCCTCCAAAGTCCACACAAGGAGGAGGGTATCATGAGTGGTGAGCAGTGTGTAGGATTGCCACACACGTGGTTGTGACAGATCCCATGGGCATTTCTAAAGCAATGGGTCTGCTATTACAGGCTATGCTGTTCAAGTTTGCGACTTCGAAATGGATGAGGACCTCTTGGTTAAACATGCTGTCATGGCATGATTCAGCTGTCTAGGCCCTAAAGTTAAGGCGTGTGGCAGGATGCAGGGTAACAACTTCGGCATTCAGATGAAATTGCCAATTCAAGACTGTCGACTAATGTGCAAAACCACCAATGTCGTCCCTACTGAATGCGCCTGTAATGCACCCTCCGTGAATCCAAGTAAGAATCCAGCGCTTTATGCATTTAGTAAGGGTTGTTGGGTCTTGTTGCGGATCGGGATCACTATAAATATTTGCCTCTAAAATGAACCTGGCACCATGAAACACTAACCGGACACCTTCGTGCTCCTTCTGGATTCAGGACGCCGTCAACAACTCGTATGGAGAAGCTGCACAGGAATCGGCTGGGCCTGCGCCAGAAGCAGGAGTCTTACAAACTATCGCAGTGACAAGAGCGCGTGCAAGATGTGTATATACCGTTTTGTTGGTCTCGGGGATTGTTGAGCTTTGGAATTCCAGTCAAGAACAAGACACTGTTCCTGAGTAAGTGCGGTCGTGTCAATGACCACTGTGCAGTGCTGCTCGCAGCTCAGTGTAGCGTACATGCCGTCGTCGGTACTTGGGGTTCGAATATGATCCAATTAAGGAGTTCAGGGATAGGGCTCGTAATTGGGTGATAGTTAGAGATTTTGCTGCAGAGGAGCAGCACCAGCAACCGGAGCGGCAGAAGAGCGACATTAGCAGCAGCAGAGCTCGATATAGCAGAGATTGTAAACATAAGTGGCAGTAGCAGTGGTAGCTGCGTGGTAGAAGAAAAGTCAACGTGGTGCCTAGAGTGCTGGGAGTTGTAGGTGAGCAGAAGTCTGGAAGCTGCAGTGTAGTAGTTAGTGCTGGTAGTTTCACTCTCCTACTCTGTTCCAGTCAGACATGCAGATATCACTAAACTTTAGCTTTCTCCTTTGTTTGTCATCCCATGATTACTATAGTTACAGTCATTAATTATTTCTACAACTTTGCAATTCGAGATCCCGACCCATGTCGCTGGCCGAGGTGCCGGAACCCACGCTCCACGAAACAGCTCAGGGCCTGCCGGCTGGCGAGATGACCCAGAAAGATGCGAATGAGGAGACATGGATTTCCGTAGTTGCCACGGAGGAAAAGGAAGCGGCCTCCCTTGAGGTCACCAAGGACGGCGAGATGTTGAGTAGCCAAAGGTACTCAAGCTGTGCAGCCCCGAAGGGGCCAGCATCCAAGGCAAGAGCGAAGAAGAAGCCTGGGTCACGAAAGCAGAAATCCAAATTTTCCAAGCCATCCCCGGCAGACGTAATTGGCGCCTCAAAACAGGCATCGTGAGCACATTCTAGCTCCTCCCGTACTCTCCCGCCTGCAGAACCCAGCTTCATTGAAAGATTCCGGAGCTTCCGCGCAGTATCGAATGGTATACGTAGTATTGTTTATAGCACTAGTCTCAAATAGTAGCTATTGCTAGCAGGTATACTGCTTTTGAAAGACTCACATCAAGTAAGCCTTTCAGCACGGAGAGGCCAGGCAAGGAAGCGTGGCGACGACTCAGCATACGGTGCTCCGAAACCGGCAGACACCTTATGATCCGTTCTGTTTTTGTCGGCCGGATTGAAGATTTTGCATGCTGCGGTTTTAGATAGGTCATTCTCAGAGCAATGCCGAGCTGCAGCTGGAAAGTGTGTAAGGAGTTCAGCCTGGGCTCATACGGGCGCTTGTCAGACTTATAGCAGCTTGCGCCTTGTAATTAATGGTTTGCAACAACAACATATCCTCTCCAGCACGACAGCCCAACCATTGTACCACCTCGGTTACAATCGCAACAAGAGAAAGCAGAGTCACCTGATGCTGAATCCGCGGAACCGCCTTCAATGCCAGACCCTGAACCATCCAGCAGACCCCTAGAGACCTCCAGTTGAGGGAACTCTACTACAAATTCATTATCCAAGCCTCAGTGCTCAAGGCCTTTGAGGCCTTAGCCATGGCTGTGATTATGATACTGTTTATCCATGATGACGGTGGCTCGGAAGTATCTCTAATTAGCCAGCTTCGTCCACCCCCCAACCTGACAGGCTGTCAAGGGAAAGCCTGAATACTTCAGGCGGAGGCTTTCTAAGTTTCAGGGAGTTTGCGTATTTTCGGGTTTGGAGCATAGCAACACGTAATCGGTTTTATTAAGGCAGTGGGTTTACAAGTCCTTCAGTACCCCCAAACCCTAACTTTGGAGACTCAGGTCTGTCAGGTTTCGTGGGCGTAGGACCTCAGCTTTTGAACGCTTTGGGGGTTAAGGCTAAGGCTTATAGGTTTAGGTTCGGAAGCCGATGTCAACCCTGAGGGTGCCTTCCTTAAGCCAAAATCCTGGAGCAGAAGTCGGATCTTTGATGACCGACATGGACCCAAGTTGCTAGGGCACTTTTCCTACAAACACGCCACAACCCTAAACCCCTATAATCCTTAAGCCCCTATAAGCTCTAAGCCCTAAACCCCTCATAAGCCCTAAACCGCCACACACAGGTTCAGTGCCCTTGACAGCAGCAAGGCGAAGCAGCAGAGCAAGTTTGTATGGCTGGAGAAGCAGTCGGAGGCCGTTGCAGGGGAATTTCCGCCGACACAACCCTCAATAGCTTACAAAGCAAGCATTCATGCTTCTTTATGGAGGCAGGCTTCGTTTATTTGTGACTTCAGATGTTCCCAAACATCCTTCGACCAGTAAACACTTCGTCCTAGGTTTTCTTGAGATGTTCGAAAACGAATCATTGCAGCCTCTGGGCACAATTTCGAACTTAAGTTGCATCAACCACTAGCCGGCATGGCTTCAACACCGCCGCCAAGAGTTTAGTAAAGAAGTTCCTGCATTTCTTCTGAAATGAACCACTTCTACTGATAGCTTGAGCGGTGAATCCGATGTGTCGTATCATAGGGCCCTGACCCAGCTGTAAAATAGTTATCTGCGAAGCCGCAGTTTAGCGCCCTTCTAGGCACAACATCGTCAAAGGGATGGCTTTTGAGTAAGGTCTGGGGTTCCAGACATCATGTTGTAATAATGTTTCGGGCTCGAAGGCAATGGCGGCCCCAGCCCCAATGCCAGCCCTTTCAGGATTTCGGAGTTGTTCTCTTTTCTTGGCTGCAAGTGCGGATCTTAAGGCGTAAGTGCCGCGACAGCGACCCAGCGAACCGTTGAAAAGTTGTGGCAGGCGTTGCAGCGAGAGAACGCTTTGCTCCGACAGCGTCTTCACAGCCTTGAGGTGGGCATCATGAATGTCACACACAAGATGAAAGCCCGAATGATTTACTTGTTCATGCTATGCATTAGGGACACCGAGAAGGATAAGTTTTCTACATACTCAGGCCCCAAGACTACCTGCATGCTCTTTACATACAGACACCGTTGCGGACAATTCGATGCAAAGACAGACAGGCAAACAGGCAGGGACAGAAAGACAGACAGACAGTTTGGACGTAACACTATCTGGTTCGTGAGGCTAGCTGACACGGGTCTAGATCACTGGCTAGTGTGGTGCATGCAGGGGGGTCTCTCCGGCTCCCATGCAGTAATTCTGAACGAAGATCCATGGTTGCAAGGGTATCTTGCTGAGGAGAGTTGTACCGAGTGAACTTCCACCAACATCAAACCTTACATACCGAGCCTTATACCCCGCAGACGTAAGCCCTCTTTGAGACTACGCTTTGTTATAATGGTGTTATACATGGACATGTAATCGTCTAGTCTAACCAAAAAAACGATAGCGGTTGTTTTCATGCTCTCAGAGTAAGAATGTGACGACTCCGGTCCTCGAATCCCGGATCGTCCCCTTGCTTTGCGGAGGCGGTGGTGAGTGAATCGCAGCCCCTTGACTTGGCATGCAGAGCATGGTTTATAGGGTTCAGGATTTCATATAGTTTGAGGTGTAGCTTGAACTTGGTGCAGGGTTTAGTCTGAGCTGTGCTGAGGGTGTCTGAGGCTCAAGCTCAGAGTTCAGGACAAGTAATCTAGATGCAGTAGAAGCTCTCGGATTTGCTTTGTCAGCTCGGATGCATACAGAGAACATGACCAAACACCTATAGTGTGCGTCTAAGGCTTAGGGTCGCAGAACCGGCCAACACCTCTCAACGGCGAGGAAGCGTTGTTGCATTGCCAACAATAAGTTGTTCGCGTGCTTTGCACTTGTGACGTCTTGCCGGTACTGCTTGGCTTCGTTGCTCTTGAGTTTTACAGATTGCATCGTTGCGGAAAGCTGTTGTTGTTCAGTAGCTTCCTGTCCCCTTCCTCAGTAGAGGGTTTCGCAAGAGTGGAATCCATTGGGATGTACGGGCAGCGGCAGCTTTGTTTCAAGTGAAGAAAGAGCCCAACGATGATAGTCAGCACCTTCTCCAAATGCCATCATCCGGGGCCTAGTTGCTACGGCTGTTGGCCTTCAAGAGTGGCGCAAAGGGAAGTCACACTTTTCACCTTCTCAGAGTGCTGGGGTGTACATGTTTAAAAACTAGGCAGTATATTTTTCTACATACTACATCCAACAGTTAAACATGATATGTTTTGTGTTTTACACGTGATGCCGTCAGGTACGGACACCTCCTGACGCCGCAGATCACGCCGGAGAGTTGGAGCCCTATAGATCCTGCTGCCCTGCAGACATCTGCAGACCATAGTGCAGTCTCTTCCAGTACATCAGCAATGTGGGACGGAATGGCCTAATCCTGTCTAGTAGGTTATTGTATACTAAGCTAAGCTTTGGGGGGGGGGGGGGGGGGCTGGCTTAAACAGGGTCTATTTGGAAGCTGGCATTCGGGCTTTGCTGTGGTCATACATCCTCACACGAAGGCCGGCGAGCTGGTCCCAGCGAGCTAGGGCACGTATTGGAACAACATTCTGTTAATGTCAGGTTTGTGTCACAAGACCTGAGTCGGACAGCAAGCTAACACAAAGAAAGCGACAAGCAGCAACCAAACAGGCCCCTCCAACTTCACGAGAATTCAAAAATCTGCGTTTACCCATCGGTCGGAAAGAAAAGAACTCCTCTCTCTCTTGATCAGGGGATTGGATCCCGAAAAGATGGAGAACAGCATACGCACCAGAAGAAGAAACCTCCGTTCTCTCTTGGCAACGGAAAGAGATCTTGATTATTTCCTTTACCTTTTCAAAAGATGGACAAGGGCATACGCTCAAGAAGAAAGGGCGGAGATTCCCCACCCCTCAACGAAAACACGGAGAAAGTCCCTCCAAGTCATTCAGCTGATCTCTAGCAGCGAGCTCCTCTACCTCTTGGTAACTCTCCATCTCCTCTGACGATAAATGAAGAGAGCTCGCTGCTTCGTCATCCGCAAGAAATGAGCTTCTTTCTCCAAAAGGGTAAGGAAGAGATCCCTTGGCACATCCCCTACCGCAGCATCTCCAAGGAGCAGAGAACCCTTCCAACTTCACGAGAAAAAAGGAACTCCGGCTGCCTCCTAGTCGACAACAAGAGAAAGGATCTCCTTGTCGTCCCCTCTTTCTCCTCAAGGGATAGAAGAGAGATAGCTTTCAAGAAGTGAGGACTGAACTGTCTCAATCTTCAAAAGAAGAGTCTGGTCCTCCCCTTAGCCTTCAACAAGACATGAGCAGCCCTCTACCCCGTCCTCTGAATTAGCTCCCGAAAAGACAAATCCTCTGCCTCATCCTCGACAAGAAGAGACTGAGAGCAATCTAAGGGGGCAGAGGAAAGCGCCATCTCAACAAATCAAGCAGGCCGCTCCAACTTGACGAGAAAGAAGAGGGCTCCGTTTACCCTTCTGCAAGAAGAGACCTCCTTTCTTTCTTGATAAGGGGGGGGATGCTCAAGAAGAAAGGGTGGAGCTCCCCCCAATTTTCAAGTAGAGACATCTGGTCATCCCTCAGCCTTCAAAAGGAAAAGACCTCATGCTCCAAAATAAGAAGAGAGTCCCCAGGATATTCGTGGCAACAGAAGAGAGCATCCCTTTTTACCTCTTGGTATGTCGCCTTGTCGTCTTAATTAAGAAGATAGAAGAGACATCGCTCCTAGCAAGAAAGGACAGAGCTCCCCTAGCTTCCAAAAAGAAAGATTTTCTACCTCATCCTCCACAAGAAATCACTGAGAGCTTCCTCCCATGTAATGAGACGCAAGAGAGCT